GTTTCAATATACTGCTTCATGATCAGTTTTACTCAATGTTCTTCACATTACTTTATAACATTATTTTATTAAATATCTAGTACTGTTGTGTTACAGTGTTTGGCTTGGGCACTGTCTTACCCCAATCTGAACACCCATTTCAAGAGAAACAAAGCCCCCTTTTGAAAATGTCATATAATCATAAGATCATTTAGGCTGGAAAGAGTTTCAGGAGGCCATCTGGGCCAACTGGCCCGTCTAAGCAGGAAAAACTTTACTTTTTTAAGTTCACAAGGTTTCTTTTGAACAATTCCAGCTGATTTTTGCACATCTCTACCCCTGAATACCATGCAGCATTTCCAACGATGAATACCATGTTATTGCTTGGAGAATAATTTTCCCTCTTGCGTGTTTGCCTTTCCTTACTCTGGCATCTAATGTGGCCATCCATTTTTGAAGGCAATTGCAGTGAGAAAGATGAATTTAAACAACCTCTACACTACTGAAATCAGATGCCATTTTGAACACCTTTTACATCTTCTACACCAAGTGCTTCAGATAACAATCTTTCCCTGCAAGCAATGGCAACATGGCACATCATTCATATAGGTCCCTCTCCATCAACTTCTTTGTCTGGAATGAGTCTCAGAAAAGGAATGAGTCTAAGGATATTTTCAGCAATATTCTTCATGTCCACTTTGAACTTAATTCACATCTCAGCTTATCTTGGTTCTACCTTCATTTCCTTCAGATTTCTTCTGTAAATCAGCATGCTCCTCCTTTCTACCAAAATGATGATGTAAAACTAGACACTTTCCAGCTGAGTGCTTTTAGATACCTGTTGTTTAGAAAATATCTTCTTAGGTATACTAATTAGTAATTAAATGAATTAATTTCCTACTGGAAGGAAATAATACTTTTTAATTTGAGACTTTTTTTCTATACTACTTTTAAAATCTTTCCCCAGATAGAGTTCTGCAAACTTCAGGCAACAGACAATATTTAAAAACTCTCCTTCCAAAACAGCAGAAGCAGAAGCAGTCACCACAATTACAGAAATCAGGAGATGAAGCAGGATTAGCATATTACAACTTGCCTGATTGCTTTTTCCTACATATGCCAAAACAAGATTAGAACAGCTGATTCCAGGGTGTCCGAAAGAGAAACTTTTTCCATGTCATTTTCTTATCATATGATTCCTGCAAAACTTGTGTCCTAAAACAATAACAAACATTCTTTCATGGTTCTAAGCAGTCCTTGTTCTTTAATCAGATGACAGTTTTTTTGATCTAGAATCCTGAACCAAAATAGTTCCTGTGTTTTCCTTTTTACAATTACAGCAAGTTATATAAGGAGCTGTGTGCTATTGTGGACATGGATATTAGGTAAATACAACAAATTAGTTGGATTGCCTAAATTGAGAAGATGTTCAGAGTTAATGCTCAAATTAATTTGCCTTTAACTCCTGGTAGGAGTGTAAGGAAAAGCATTACATCAAATATTACTTCCATATGCATTTATTTATCTCATTTATTTAGTACTGTTTTGTCTCATATTCAGAGCAGAAAATTATTTACAAGTTGATGAATAAACAGATGCTTAAACACATCACTTTTGTTACTAAACCAGGTGCTTTAGAAATGGGAAAGCCAAATAATAATGTGAAAGCATGACAGTCCAAGGAAAGGATTCCTCCACTCTTTATTTCTCGAGTCAATCAATATGATTTTATTAATTATCAAAAAATGGGCTGTTTTCTTAATCCATGAACAAAATAAAGTTAAATTCAATTTTTGGTCTAACTGAACTGACCACAGAAGTACTCATCATTAGTGCAGTTACTATATGATTAAAAAAGAGAAACTCATAAATAGAAAAATAATGTAAATTTTCTATGTAAATAGAAAAATAAATAGAAACCTACATCCAAGAGAGAAAGCTTTTTCCAGAGTGGGACTGCCTGTGGCATATTTCATTTTGTGATGCTATTTGTAATAAGAACTTGTTCTTAATTTGATATTAGGTGCCATTACTTTAGAAATAATAAATATTATACAACACACACACTTCACATACAACATAAAAATACATATGCAAAGGAGGATAGGTATAGAAAAATAAAGATAATTCAAATTTAAAAATTGCTATTTTACCCTGTCGAGCAGATTCTCTACATGATTTTCCTTTGGGAGTAGTCCATGAAAGCACACATAATCTCAAATATTTCAATTTTATTGCATACACTAGGATTAATAATTTAAATATACCAGGGGAAAAAATATAAGTATAATGTTACTTTTCAAAATTCTAAGTAAGTCACAGAACCAAGTATTTCCCACTGAAGACAAAGGAGATTCTTAACAGGGGATTAATTTAATCTGAAACATTTTGTCAAAGTTGTTTTTCTAAGTAGACCATAAAATCAGGAGAGAGAAATCAGCACTTTCTGAGGGCAATTTGAAGATGAATAATGAAGTCTGGTAGAATTATTCACCTTCTAGAAGTATCTACCTTTCTCCATATTGATTGTAGAGAGTGATAGGGGAAAGTTAGGAAGGTAACTTGAGGAGAGATGACTCTTCAGGAGGTGCTAGATCAGGTTTAATATATGATTGTGATATATTTGTTCTCATGTCTTATGAATCTGTACTTCTAAGACAGAAAACCAGTGAAAAGCAAAATGAAAAGTTAAAAATTAATGAAGTTTTTAAAAAATTGTTTGTGGCATAAACAAAATACTGTACAGCAAGAGCAGTCAGGGTTTTACAGCTGCTTCTTAGAAAACCAGAATTACCCTTCTACCCTTGGGTAATGGTCCTTCAAAGTTCTAAGAATAAAACTTCATAGTGCCATTCACTGTTAAAAAGTCTATGCAGACTTTCATGCAACATTAAGAAATGTTAAAACACCTTTTCCCTCCCACACTGTGCATGAATACTCCCCCAGTCCATGCTTGTTTAGAATACACTTTTATAGCAAAGATGCAAGCTCAATAACATGCAGTGATTTATCTTGGGAATACAAGCTCAAGCATAACTGAAATGAAAGCAATACAGCAGGAGAATAAGGGATCTGGACCATCTGGGTGAAAATATGTGGCTTTGAAAAATGTTTAGAGCAAAGAAAATTGACATATATCTGGAAGTGAAAAGCTCTGAATTCAACTGAGAGTTTTGTCACTCACTTACTGATTGACTTTATTCATGGCACTGATGATTACTTCTCAGAGTCACATAGTGCCCACCTTTTTACAGTCAAGAAACCAGGGAAATGGGCTAAAACTTCGTTTCTCCATCTGAGGATGATGTGTTATCAACAACAACTTAATAGCTGTGAAACAAGAGCTAATGGAGTCTTTAGTTATCTTTGCCTCACAAGAAGTAATTCAGAAAATTTTTTTCAATTAGCAGTAATGTTACAGTACCACTTCCCTCGCTCAGCTATGCAATTTTGATCATGATATGAATATAATAATCAAAATAATAGCCCTCTACCCGAAACTCAGGAGCATTATTCCCATTCAATATTCACTCAGCTGTATAGAAAGGCTTTTTTTCTTTGTTTAGTGTTAACAGTTTTCATATTCTTGCTCAGATAAACATAAAGTGGAAGATGAATTGCTAGTGTTTGCAAACAAGGTTAAAGGCTTTCCAGTGCTGAAACAAAAGACAGGCTTTTGTGTCTCGTTGGAAAGGCAAAGCGGAACAGATTTGTTGCTAAAACAATAAAAGTTTATTCTTCTCTCCATTCTGGTTTTTATGGTTTGTTATTTCACTGAAACTCATCCAGTACTTACCAGGTGATAAAAAGGACAAAGAAAACTCTACTTTACTGGAAAACTGTGAAGCTTTGTTGTCATAGCTGACATCAAATAAACCTGCAAAGTGGGATATTGTTAGAGTGCCTCAGAAGACAAGCAAAACCCAGAGTCTTCCTAACAAGTAAAAATATTAGTTTGGCATTGTTCAAAATTCTAAGCTGAATTCTGATAGAATATACGCTGAACTTCTGACAAACTCACATGAAAGTCAGTAAAATTGCAGCATTCTTTGTCTATAAACAACAGGGTCTGCCTAAAGGCACCTCAGAAGGTACAGAAACATGGGACCCCACCAGGGGCTGGAAACAGAGTTTTCTGCTTTTCAAAGCAGCCTCTTCATTTGCAAGTCAAGCAGTTATCATGTGGTAAAACTCTTCATGTCAGCAACTAATATATCGGGAGTGTCAGGTCACAGAGTTTACTCACTCAGCAGTGTGCGGGTAACATGCTTCCACTTCACCCCTGAGTCAACTGTGTCTGTTTATGATGTGTTTAAAATGATCAAATGTGAGTTTATTTCTTTTGAAATATTAGAAAATCATTCACTTAATTCAAAATGATCTCCAAAATTCCCAGGAGCTGCTCACTTCACCATGAGTGATAGCAGAGCCCTCAACGAAATCTGTTCTCCAACACACAGATGAGACAAAGATGAGGAAAACCCAGAGATTTTGCTTCCCAATCCTATTCTCCAACACCACCCCCAACAGCTGATCTTCCCAGGATTAAAAATCATCTTGTGGGAAGATACATGGTAAATTTGTCAAAGTCCATCCCAGATCTATGCAGTAGCTCAAGCTAGAGTAAAAAAATATATATATATAGATCTAGAATCCACACTTAGATAAGGTGGATTTTAATTAGAAAGCCCTAAAACTTACCACTATGTATTAGCAGAAAATCTAAGTTAAGAAAAATTGCAGTAGAAGAAATTAGAAACTGTTTTCAGAAGGCAACCTAAGACAGGCTAATGAAAATTCATGTGGCCTTCTTCAAACTTTTGATACCAGTGAAAGCTGAGCAGAATTTCAGAGCCCAGATAAAAAGCCACAAAATCAGTATCTCGCCTGAGGGAGTTCCCTGCTCCAAATACCGAAGACTCTGAAAACAATAAGTGTGAAGCTATACCCAGGTTTTACTGCAAATAAACTGTTACACACCGCCACTTCCTCTCTCCTCTTCTGTTCCACAAAATCCCAAGTACCAGCTATACATAAGTAGACTCACACTGCTCCCAAAATGCAAAAGAGGAGGAGGCATCCCACATAGCTGAGAATTCAGTAAAGGAGTCAAAAATGTGGAGAAAGACGTAAAAGAAGAAGAAGAAGAAGAAACAAGGGGATCTCCTTGGATTTTCTCCGTCCCCACATTAGGCTGGGGACTCCTGCGTTGCCACGAAGGCTGGGGAGAAAGGAGAGAAGGAGAAGAGCAGCACCATTCCTGGGATCACTGGAGCTCAGTGCTGGCACCCAGCCCAGCCAGACCTGGAGCTGCAGCACCCTGAGCACCACAGCTGAGAGGAGCAGTGCCTGCCTGTGCCTCTGGGCACTCACCCAGCAAACCTGGCAGCTGGAACACCAGTATTCCAGAGGTAAGATGCTGCTCTCAGAGAAGACATCTCCCAGCTCCCATCTGAGCTTCTACCAGCATGCTGTTCCTTTTAATTTCTGAAAAAAATTCAGTCAGGAACGTGATTCCAAAAGATGTTCACAGGCAAGACATGTAATTTGATCTAATGAATAATAGAAGTGCTTATTAGTTTTCTGTTAGATCTCCCATATCATTCAAAGAAGCTATGCTTAGGAAGAGAAAGGACAAAAATTTGTGACCACCAATATTCTGCAGAATTTTCTAACTTTTCTGGTTGCTTCTGCAACAGATCTAATAATTTTAAGGAAGGTTTATGCATGCTGTTTCTTTTCTATATTCAAATAGCACATAATGATCAGATACATTTTTAATGCCTTTAGTCTAAGAGAAACCCACCTGGACTTAGTCCTATTTAAAAGCAGAAAATTAAAAGGATGCTTATGAATTTATCTTGCTAAAGAAATCTAGTTTAGTTCCCTAAAGCAGAGCAGCCATATGAACAACTCATGATCATGTGAGTACTCTTCTCTATATCTACAGAGAACTCTTTTCAGTTAAATATAATACTGCAAATAAGACAGAATCCTTCCATGCCCTACAGGAGAAATATGACAGTCGATTATGGGAATTACCCATTACCAAGCTACAACAGACTAAATACATCAAACAAATATCTGACAACAAGAGACACACTAAACTCTGAGGAAGTGATACCTGACTGTAAGGATTATAAATCAGTTTACCCAATTTCTTTGACAATGTAGCAATACCCTTATGTGAGAGGAATTGTAAGTGCCTTGAGAAATTGTGGAAGGGAATTTACAGTTCCTTATACAGCCAATTACTTTTAATGAGCAATATGCAAGGCCTGTATCTCTCTAAGCTTTCCCTGATATTCTGGGGAGATTATAGAGAAGTTTCCTAACTCTCAGATATGTCTAAAAGATCATTTTTCTATCCATATGCATGCATTAATCTATATTCATAGGTATTGTACTGTGCAGTCTCCACTCAGAGAACCTATGGAGAGTTACATGTTCTCCTGTCTCCAGATGTTACAGCAGAATATTTCTCTTGAATTATTCAGTCTTGAATGCTGTAAAAAATACAGTGTACATACCTCTGGATTTATTATTTGTGCATAATGAATTGTCAGGTTTACCTGGACATGCTTAAGTGGCTAGAAAAGCTAACATTAACAAAAGCTAGCATACTTCTGTATCTGTTATTAAAATATGTCCCCTCTGATCTTCAGCAATAGGATCATACTAGTGAAGAAAAGCAGCAGTTCAGAAAATTTCTAAGGAGCAACAATATTTTATGAACTGTAAGTACAAAAGCTCTTTACTTTTCACTTAAGAGAGAGACAAAAAAGAGCTGAAACCTTAAGAAATAGTCACAAAAGGCAGAAATGGAGATCAATAGTGAAAAATACATCCCTTCAAAGATGGGGAATGAAAAATAAAAAAAAAAATAGATGGAGCTCTCTGGCTCAATGTAATCAAGTCCTACAGTTAAATCCAGCAATCTTAACTTTCTTCATCAGTTCTATTTCTCATTTATTTACCTCATTAACCATTAGGACATTCAGTAAGTTTCATGGTCTCTAATAGACAGCCTCCAAGCAGATTTGATTTAATTAGAAGACAAACTTTATGATTTAGCCATAATGGACTTCCTGTTTGAGATAATATCCTCTCATTTTATCCCCTTGCCAAAATAACCCACATATTGTGTGTACTGGTTTAAATTCCATATAAATGCCTGATTTTCTAATACCGTGAAAATTATGATGAGTCTTTATAGTAAACTTAAAACTCTTTCCACAGTGTTAAAGGGCTCAAATGCAACCTGAGGAAGAAAGCACTACTCTAGAAGGCCGGTGTTTGCTATTCTACAGAGAAATTATTTGATTAATCCCTAGGGGAATGACTGAACTAATTGGAAATTGTAAACATAAAGGAGATAACTGAGAAGTGCTAATCCACAGTATAAACAAGTAAATTTTCCAAAAGAAGTGTGACTGAGAAATACCCCTTCATGAATGGCAGCTGAGGTGATTCAATCCTCTGTGGCAAATATGGATTGTTTCCCCTTCATGCAGGAGGTGTTAGGGAAGCTCTTGCTGCCCACGTAGGGGAGGCACTGAAAGCTGAACAGGCTTACAAATAAAGAGGGCAGGATTTTCCAGTAACATAACTGGACTGATGTTTGGAGGTAGACCACAAAGGAACCACCTTTGTCCAGCAATTCACCCCTCAGTACACATCTTCACTGTTCTCTTTTCTCTCCAACGTCCACAGCAGTTCCTGTCACAATTTTTGATCTTTCTGCTCTCCCCTCCATCCTACACATCTACAGGATATGTCCTTTACCCAAGTCTTCCTTTTCCTGCTCCTAATTTGACCCATAATTGTCTTTCTGGGCCCACTGCAGGTCCCAGTAGCAATCCAGGTGTATTTCTGTTAGGCATTCTTCAAACACTCACAAAACATATTCTGTGTGGTAGGTCAGAGACCAAGCAGGAGAAACTAAAAGCAGGAGGTGGAGAACAGAAGCGAGGCACAGGAAAGATGGCTGGTCAGCTAAACCAATCAGTGAAAGGGATGTACAGAGAAAACTGGATGATGCCAAGCTGCTTCTTTCAAGTTGCCTGAGTCTACCCAGTTTCATCAAATGAACACAAGAATGTTTAAAGAAATGGTCCACTGCCAGATGTCTCTGATGCACAATTGCTCAAATTTCTGACTATTCAAATGGGATACAAATTCTGAGCATTTGTTTTCATTTGGACCCATAACTCTTAAAGAATTTTTATACAGAATTAATATTTGGATCAGTTATTATTTATGATCATTTTTTCCCAAGACTTTGTCAGAAGCTTCTTTTTTTTTTCACCATACAAGACAATTTCACAAATTCTTGGAGGAAAATACAGATTAAGAAGAGAACATTTCCCGAAAAAATATCATTTGGTCTTGATCCTGTGATTACTTCTCATGTGAATGGCAGCCTTGCAGTCAACATTTAGACACAATGAGACTGTTCTGCATGAGGTGAATTTGAAGATGTGTGATCATATGACTGTATATACAAATAAGGAAGGATTTTCAAGACAGCCTGAAGCACTTATGTATCTAAACCAAATAAAAATTCATTACTTGATTCCTACATCTCTCGGATGCCTTTTAAATAGATGCATATATATATTAAAACATTAATGTTTAATTGGATATCTTAATTATACCTAACAGCAATTATTATAAGCTGCTGTGATATTTTTCCAAACTTTTATATTCTCATATGGAAACCTTACCCAAGTTGTAAATTTTCATTTTCCTGTAAAAGATGTATTACAGAGAAAAGCTGATGGTATCATAATGGAAAATTATTCAGATAACAGATTAAAGCAATTTTAATATTCTTGAATTTTCACTCACTCATATTCTTGGGTATAAAATGTGTGGGATTTAGCTGGATAGATTTTTCTCCTTTTTATCAGGCCAACGATTTTGTGTCAGTTCTTTGGCCATATCAGAATGAAATTCATCACGTTTCAGAAGCCTAGAAGTTGGATATCCAAGTTCAAGCTATTCCCATTCCCCTAGCAGTCAGTAAAGAGACATAGGCTTCCCTAGAGGACAGTTTATCTGATCTGCTCTAGACACCTATCTCAGGAAGAGATGAATTGCTGTCTGGAGATGGTATTTCTCTTCACTGACTATTTAAAAGAGTGTGTAGTAACTGTCTTAGTCACTTTGTAACTTAGTTACCGTGTTGGATGCCTAAACCAAGGCAGATGGATCTCTTGTTAGGTGACATTTTTACTCTTACTACATGCCAGGTTCAAAAGAGCATTACAGGCAAATCAATGTGTTTGTCTGCTGTCCCACTTTCTATATATGTACATGTGAACATCTGGTTTGGAAGCTAATGAAAGTAGTTCTTCAGATTCTTTCCTCAAAGTTGTTTTTAGCATTTTTTCCATATATAGTAAGTGCCAGATATCTGTTGAGATATTCTGTGCAAATGCATGCTTGCCAGTCCTTGTAAACCTGTTCTGTCATGAGTTCCCAGTCTTCACATTAAAGCAGCATAATGCCAAGGTGCATGTACATGCAGGCAAGGAATGTAATATATTATAAAGTGCCAAATAAAATTTAAAAAAAACCTGCAAGACCTTGGGGGAAGAAAAGACAAATATATAATTTTTTCCTACAAGAGAACACAGAGTGCTAGAGGCTGAAATCTTTCCAAAAGCAAGTGCACTCCAGTAAAACAATCAGACATGGGAAAATGAATAACATGGGATTTTGATAGTTAAGAGACTGGAACGAAACATCGTGAACAGTGTTTGTAGAGTAACTCATTAACTTTTTCTGCCTGTTTTGAAAGGTTATATAGATTACAGTACTGGCCTTTCACATCTGGTGTTTAAGGTTTAGAACTCCCCTGTTCAGCTTTCATGACTCTAAAACCTTGATTACAATAGTTTTGCTACAATAGAGAGGGAAATAAGAAATGCCTGCTTCAAAGCAGCTGTAGGGGTTTATAAGCAATAAAGAGAAAGTAACCTGGGGAAAGATAGGGGACAGGGGGGGACTAACAATATGAAATTCAGCCCTTGCCATGATTTTCAACATATAATATTCAAAGATGAATGACACTTGTTTTATATGTGTCTTTTCTGCTCTCAGTTTCACTTAGTTCTACATGTCTGAACCAGAACTGAAAATAGTAAATGACTACTGGCAGAACCAAAAGGCTTCTAAATCAGTAGCACTGTCATCTGCTCTGCAGTCACATACTTTCAGACCATGAAACACTGAAAGAAATTCAGGAAGTTTGAGAAGGAACATAAAGTTTCTCAACCTGGGTTCCTCAGACATCAGAAAACAGACTACATTCCAACAAGAATATTAACTTCCTTTTCTGATATGTAAGACTCTTATTAGCACAGCCCAAATAAAAGTTGCACTATTTGCAATAACATTAATGTATTAACTCATGCTTTTTGTAAATGTACTATACTACATATCTTTTCCTGAAGTACTGGTACTTCCCATATCTTTCCCAGTCTCTATTTGAAAAATTGATTTCTAGATTAATTGCTCAGCGATACTAATCTTAAAGTCCTTGAAATTTTAAAACTAGCACTTCTGCTTTTTCCATTCTAAGTTAATCTTGAATTTTTGCTTAGAGAAAGGAGGAAAGAATCATGTCCTGTACCAGATTGCTGAATTTATGTAATTTGTTTCATAGATGTAGCAAATGCTCACAATGGACCATGGTGAGCTGGTGTGGGAAAGAAATTGTGTTACTACATTCCCTGACGTTAAATCTCTAGATGGGACTAGCATTTACTTTTATTTAATTTCCAAACTATCAGTTTTTGAGGAGTGTTTTTAATTCTGGGATGGGCCCTTGAGTGGCCACAACTTATCTCAGGCTGGAATAAGCCTCCAGTGTCACAAGTGTACTGACTGCTTCATCAGAGTCATTAAAAAGCAAATTACTCTGAGTAGGCTTTGGGAGAGATCCCAGAAGAAGCTGACTGAAGTCTCCCCTCATCTGGCAGCAAAGGTCTGTGGTTTGCCAGCCTGTCACACACCCTTCTTATGGCAATGCACAACCCTGCTTTTGTCATCTAATCTTGTGACACATACTCATGGAGACAATAAGGCAACATGATCTCTTATGGCTCCTTTATCAGTGCATCAGCAGATTTCTAATTTTAGCTCCATATATAATTAAAAAAAAGCAAAGAAAGTAGGTGCCTGGTTTTCTTTACAAGTGAAATACAAATGAAGGAGTGAAATATAAGTGTAGTGCTTTTTAAATAAAAGGAAAAAACCACATGTGAAGCCACTGAATCATTTCAAAGAGAAAGTCAGAGAGGATTTCTTATTGTGACAATGTGATTTTGGGTACTGATTTCTGGTACATGAAGGAGGAGCTTAATGGAAAGGTTTACTCATAGTGTAATATTTTATCTACTTTCTTCTCATTTCCATGAACACATTTCTTGGCATGGAAAGCTCCATTTGCACATGGTTGTTCTCACTGTATGCAAATTTTTTTTTGCAACACAATTTATCTCTACAGACTGATCTCTGTGATCTTTCTGACACATTTGGAAGCAGCTGACAATGTAGTTTCTACTATCAAAGTGTCTGTGTCCCCAAACACATTTAATTCATTTTAACAGCAATCCCTGAAATTTTCCTGCCTCATGCTTTTATTCTCTTAGATTTCATGGGTTAATTGGGATCATATGAGCTCAGTGTTTTGATTGAAGTTGTCCAAGAAAAGTATCAGGTGTTAAAGGAAGAAATATTGATGATTCAGTAAGATGAATCCTAATATCCAGAGAGCCAATGTCATGTACTCATAGTGCAATATTCTGTTTTATAAGCTGATAAAGGTCCTGGTCATGTACTATCATTTCATATGTCATAATAGATTTTTGTAAATAATAATATTACTTCTAACATCCTTGCAAAGCTGTGGTGTCAATAGTTGCATTGCATTAGCTCATACTGGTTTTGTATATTAATAGGATTTATTTTTCAGTTTCAAAGTTAAATATTATGTCACGTATTTGTGTTTTTTTCTTGAACAAAATGGTTAATGAGAGTCTTTAACAAGTTGCTAAATTGCAGCTTTAGAATTCAGACAGGTAGACTGGCTCCATGTCACAAGGTACCACATTTCACAGATTATTCCTCCTATTGGATGCAACAGTTTGGATTTGGCTAAGCAATTAAGCATTAAATCACATTTAATTTCAGAGGATTAGGCTAAACAAGCAGTTTGGGTTGCATATGACAACCATTTTGTCCTTATATGGTTGACATTTGTGTTGTTGACATATTTTGCCAATGGTAATTTGGTGTTTATTTCCAGTTCACTAATGGAAATATTGAATGCCATGTAAAATATCCATTATAGGTATCCACACTAGGAGCATCCCAGGTGATGATTAATCCCTGTGGATGAATATATTTTTCAATGCATTAGTTATTTCTTAAGTTATTTAATATATACTGTATTAATATCATAGGGCTCAAATATCTTTAGCAGAATGTCAGGGCAGCTAACGAAATTGTCCATTATAATAATGCTTAGAGCAGCAAACAATTGGGACACTCTTATTGACTTTAGAGGCTGTGTTAGAGAAAGGTGAAAAAGAAAAAGGAAAAATTACAATTTTTTTCAATAAAAATAAATTTGAATTGATTTTATTTTTCCCTATGAAATTATGATATGGGAAGAGGTAAGATTCAATTGAGAAAAAAAAAATGTGGGTTTTCAACTCCATCAGTCCCAAATTCTAAAGCTATTTGCAGCTCTATTGCTTCCCTTCAGGTTAACCAGAACCATGCAGTTCCATATAAAAAATAACCCTTTCTTAAAGGTTATAGCCCCTAACTTAATCCTTTCATAATGCCCTTTTAACAAGAATTTTGAAGCATAGGATAACTGCTAGATAATAAGATTAGATGTGAATCCATTAGGATGTGTAATGTCTAGACCAAACCAGAGAGACACAGAAGAGGCTGTTCAAAGGGACTTGACTCTGTTTGCCTCATAAGATATTTCATGGCATTTAGATATCCCAGATATCCTCTCTGGTTTCCACCTGTCACTTCAAAATAATTTGTATATTCTGGAGAGGCTTTGTCACATTTACTAGCCCTGAGTATTATAAATTGTACATTAGCCCAGGAGTCATTAGATACCTATGTCTGGACAATTGAATTGAATTTCAATGCTATTACAAGGCAAAAGATATATTAGAATTATAATTAGAAAGTTAAGCTATAAAAAAATGTTTATTCTCTCCTCCAGAACTTGGATTTGAATCTAATACAGACACATATATTTTCATATGTGTCTATAGTCTACAATGTCTTGAGAAATATTCCTTTTATAGTTTACATAACCAAATGTCGCTTGAGAATTTTACGTGCTCCATTTTGTGTCCAAACCCAAATGAGTGTGACTGTACATGAGCTCCTCAATATTGTGTGTGATCAGCTTTGGAAATCTTCATGCAGTTCTAGTTTTAGTCAACACTGCATTCAGCATGCAAAATCAAGAATAAATTTTTAAAAAGAAAAATAAGATAAGATAAAATAAAATAAAGCTGTGTTTTCTCATCACACAGGTGATTGCAGCCTAATGGGTGAAATCCCCAGGGATCAGCTTCCCAAAGGGCATGCAGATTTTTCAGAGGTAGGCAAGGTATAAAGAACCTCAGGCTCTAAACCACCAACCAGGTAGGACTGCATTCCTTAATGCAGAGAATATGATGAAGCTGCATCAGAATAAGTGGTTTCTGCTGGTTTCCCATGCTTACATTATGCTCTCAAACATTTTCTGTGTGAGTGGGGCCAGGTCGAGTCCTGCTATAAACATATAGTGACCCAAAGAATTCAATGAGTTTCATTTCATTTTCAGCTGGTAAGACAAGGGAAGGAGGTACCAAAATAGGACACATAAACTCAATTGCAAGGTATTTGTGTACTAATCTCAATGGGTTTTGGATAAGGCAGCAAATTTCATGCACTGCTTTTCTTAAGAAAATCATGTTATCTGTCTACACAGAAATCATGGAATCATAGAATAATTCATTTTGGAAGGGCCCTCTATATGTCACAGTATCCTATCCCCCTCTCAAAGCAGCACTAATTAGATCAGGGACTCTTCTCCTCTAGGGTTCAGTGAGAGATTTTTCAGCGGCTTTCAGAACACCAGGATAGCTCCATGCACTTGTTAAAGAAGCTTCTACTCACTGGAAAGAAAAGTAAAAATAACCACTCCTGAAATTTTACCTTCCTAAAAATTACCAAGACTAATTCATTAGTGGATTACACTAATCATTATAGCAGGGAATTATATCCATGAAGTCTCTAACCTTATTGCATATTATCACATCTGCTGCCCTTTCAATGATACACTTGAATTAATCTCTGGATAACAGGTTCACATCTCCTTAATTGAAACTAATGACTAAATAAAAAAGATCAAAAATCTTTATATTCTTTAATTAAAAAAAACCCTTCACCAAGTGTCTAAAGAGGCATATAACTATCCTTGGAAGAACTCCAAGATATCGTGTGACGGGGAGGCAAGAATGTGAAGAGGAGGAAAGAAAAATACTTTTTTCAGGGGAAAGTATAGAATTTGGAAATGGCATTAGGCCAGGGTCTGCCACACCTACACATTCTGGAGAAGAATTTTACAATAATTCTGCTGAACTAGAGTATAAAGCCACTCCTCAAAGGAGATCCTAATCAAGACCTTATAAATTAAAGATTATACAGAATACAACCTGAGAGTGTTTGTTGTTTTGATGCAGGAAGAGCACCCACATCACAAACATATAAGTTGCATCCTTTGAATCCTTGACCTTTATCTTCATTCACCACTGAAGAACAATTTTTCTGCAGCAGTTTAAAAATCTCTGCTTTCCAATAGGTCAGCAATGCCCTGAATTTTAATCTAATGCATATCAACAGTCAACTCAGACTGCAAACTTTAAATTGTCGATTATTCAAGCTTTTCTATTTAAAACAAAATTCAATTTTGTTAATTAAAATATCACTACTGGAATTATTAAAATATCACTACTGGAATTTTAGTATCATTAATACCATAATTTTAGTTTCCCTATAGATTTTTCTTGATCAAGGACCTTCATATATATATATATCTCCATAATTTCCCCCTAAGAAAATAAACATGAAAAATTACTTAAACTCAATAACAGGAGCTAGAATATGGAAAATAAATGTTTATATTCCCACTTGGAGTTCTGCAGAATGATACATGTGATATGTATGATGCTTATAAGCAAGATTAGCTGACCTCAGCTAACATGGTAATGACACTTATGGAGTGTCATTATGTTATGGAGTCCCCAGTGGTGTCCTTGAAAATATTTGTATGCTAACCAAAGCACAAAGCTTTAACAAAAAAGACATAAAACAGCTTCCACTGCACCACCTGTCCTTTGGACAGATTGCCTGGATGTGAAGTGGACTGCAGTGTTGCAAATTATTGTGTTTACCTTCTGTGGAAATCAGGAAGAATATTAATAACACTTCAGTAATGGAGGAGCCAGACAAAATCCGTGATTCATTCATAAATGTGAAGTCACTATAACATCTTTAGCTCCTGTTTACAATGCCTGCTAATTTCTTGTATATCCTCTATTTCCTGGATGTATAAATGCATATTTTAATAAATATTGCAGACTAGAACTGCAGCTGAATGTAATGGTGGGTGTATATATTCTGAGGAACAGATCCCAGCCTTTGTCTCAGGTTTGGCTTGATTTTTCTCCACGAGTGTTGTTCAAAAAAAAAAAATTGCTGCTGAGTCAGACTCACTACTACTAAATTGTGGCTAAGTCAGTAAAGTTACAACAATAATAAAAGTTGTCTGTTAAAGTATTAAAGATTTTCCAGGATACTGTTACATTTATACATGGTGTATATTTTCATGACCTGTTTTTTTCCTAATTCCTCAGCATTTTTCTGTCCTGTTCACAATCCAGAGTTCTGAAGGAAACTGAGCTATTGCAATGAGTGAGATGTATGTTACCAGGAAAACTTTTCAAAAGCAAGGAAATTTTTTTCTGGCATATCCATTGTCTAGTTCACCATGTAATTGACACTGAGCTATGAAGTACAAAGCAATCCAAGGCTCAATTTTGCATTTCTTTACAATAGTCTCCTTTTCAGCATGAAGACTCTGCATTGCCAGTTGTGGATTTAGCAAAATAAAACTCCAACCTGCACAGGTGAGAGCTAAGAAAATATGTTGTGTATGATTTTTTTTTCAGTCTTTCAGTCTACTAAGTGACCTCAGAATTTGCAGGGTCACATGAAAACTAATTTGTATGAATGAAAATCTGAGGAGAGATTCAGGCTTAGATGGGTACATACACAGGGACAAATTTCCATGTGACAAATTTGGACTGCCCCACAGGTCTCCTGTGAAAACCATTTGACTGTCATTTTCCAGCAGAGCACATAGCAGATAAACTCACATTAATGCTACAAGCATTAATGGATTACAGCAGAGAAAGGGCTCTGAAATTTCTTACCTCAGTCTCCCCTCCTACAGCTCAACTCTGTGCCTGTGCTCACAGGCATCTGTGGAATTTGGGTTAGCTCCACGTTGCATTGAAACAAGACATTTTAGGTTCCTAATTATTAAAGATGTTCATGTCAGGCACATGGACACTTTTGCAGATCCAAAGCTCCTGACACATCCATATCTACATATCTTTGTGAGCGTGCATGTGTGATGTTATTGGATGTGCATGTGTCCTCAGACTTGCTTACAGCTCAGGAGCTTATCTGGAATTGAATTGAGAGATTCAAGGTCTGGTGAACTAATCTCAGTTCCTAACTAACCAGTGTGTGACTACTGAAACAGCTGCTGGTAGAACAGATGGATTTGGCCTAAAATGTTTTTTGAGAATTTGACTGGTCCTAGGACTAGGACGTAAGGAAAAATTACAGGCAAACAAACTACGTAACAAGGAATGTAACAACATTTCCAAGGGTAAGTAAATTTGGGAGACCAAACATTACACACATTGCTTATATTATCAACAGACTACTCAGCTTCTCTCCTCACTAAGTGATATTGATGGAGGTATTTGCTACTCTAGTATTGCAAATATTGCATTTAGTCAGTTCTGTCAGGCATTAAATAACATTCCCATTCTCATTTTCAAGAACTATGTCTAATCTTTGTTTACACTAATGCTTCCTTTGTTGACTTTTAACAATTATGTGCCATTGACAATTGTTTATTGTTGTTTAATTAGGAGGTGGATTATTCCCATGTTTTAATGATTACTGCTCAACAACTTGACAGAAATGTTATTCCCAAAACCACCAAGCACAAATTGGATTTGATTTATTTCACTTAATCTTGTTATGATTGTATTATAAGCTCTCCAAATTATAATTTTTTTATTAATTGCAATATCTCACATTTTCAGCTCAGCAATGTATACCATAGGAAGCAAATTTAGCTGCTGCTAAATTCTCTCTTTAGGAAAAAAAAAAAACAAATGTACAATAAAGCCTTCAGCACTGACTGCAGAGATGATTTTCAGTTAGTAAAGAGGAAGTATCCATTTGCTGTACATAAGAACAAACAATCATCCAGGACATTAGAAGTGGCCATCTGCTAAGTGCATTCTCAGTATTAGATATAAAATTTGAAAGTAGAAATTATTGATAATGGACAATTTATAAGTGCTGATTTTTTTTTATGTAGAGAAGAGCATGGCATCCACTCTCATCAGCCAATACAAACACTTATTTTTTTTTCCATGAAATATTGATGATCACTAAAATAATAATGAAGAAGAACTGCAGAAGCTGAAATTTGCATGAGCTACTGCAGTAGCCATTTTCAAGTGCAGTATTTCACATAACAAAAAATTTAGACAGATTAAAATACTTATTCCATTTAGATCAGGTGATAATGGGCTGCATGTAAATTGGTTATCTCCTGTGCATTACTGACATTACATATTTTTAAAATAAACTTTTTATGGAAACGATGTTTATGTCATGGATAGCTTTTAAACAGTAAAGCTGGTCAAAAGAAAGAAATGTAAAAGAAATATAAAAGAAAAAATCAAAATAAAATTAAAATGCAGAGTCAATAAAAAAAGAAAAAAAACACTGAAAGGTCCAGTTTTTCAACATTTCAGTTTTTGTTTTTTTGGGTTTGTAATTCATTGCCAATTTAACCAGAAGATTTTGGGTATTGTGTGCCTGAGGTGCCTATGCTGAAAATATTGTCAGTATTGGGTTGAGGAGCCCCAGAGCCCGATGCCTGCCTGCAGAGATCAGAGCAGGGCTTTGGCAGAACATTGCCCATCCTTTGCTAGAAGACTTTTTGAGAGCAGCATAATTTCCTTAAATGTTTTACTTTGTTGACTCAGCCATTTCTGACAGACTGATGCTGAAGTTGGAAATTTATAGCCCCATCCATGTATCATCATTTGATTCCATCTAAAGTATTTGAGGAATCTGCTTTGCTCCGCTGTGGCGTTTCCAGAGGTCACACATGACAGCTTCTCTCACTCCTAGCAGCTTCCTAGAGTTAAAAAAAGTAGTTTTAGGGAAGAAATAGAATTTCTAAAACATGAAAAAGGCTTTTAGGGATGTTCGCATACCTGAGGGATAACACTGTGCATTAATACTTCAAGCTAACATAATGCAGTGTGCACCAAAACATGATTTAAGACAAATCAGTGAGACGAGAGAAATTTTCATCTTTCCTTTTGAAGATTTTGTGCCTTTCTAATAAGAAAATATATACACTATAGTTCTAAGTTATCTTCTTACTGTATAAAATCCAAAGCTTTTTTTTTCCCAAAATAATTTCTGCAAGGTGATGAGGACCTTCTCAAGATATGAGATCCTAATTTATTTAGACCATCTAGAAATTGCATCTCAGGAGATCAAAACTCCTAAAAGATGACTTAATGTTATTTAAGTTTTCTTTTGTGATTCTCCATCCACCCCCGCAGTTTTATCCAGACGGTTTTTTCTAGCAAAAATCTTCTATAGATATGTTATTAACCCTTTTAGTCTAGAATTTCTTTCACATTTCTGGTGTAAAAGTCACACTCCTTAAATCTAACTTTAAAATCTTCCACATTTCCTACTGCTCCTCCCCTCTGTAAAAAGGATATAGTTCTCTATATGAATGATATTTCAATAGTTTTCAGAGGGATTGTGAGACATTAAGAAACCAGGAATATTGTTAGTGAATGACAGCAATGACAGAGAAGCACTCTTGGCTTTTCATCTGTATTTCTACTGGCTTTCAGACGAATCACAAAACTCACATTCACATTGGAAGTAACTGGACTAGACTATTGATACAGAGTTCTTTTTTCCAGGTATATGAATGCAGAGCAACAAGGTTTAATCCTACATATGCTAGAAACTGGATGAAGAAATGTTTTTGAGAGAAAACTTGTGTAATTTTAAGCCCATTCCTTTTCAGTAAAATAAAAAGGAGAAGTAATAAAAGTGAATGGCTCTTCTATTTATACATATAAAAAAAGTTGTGTGTAATACTGCTATGTAACAGGAACTGGAAAATGGAAGGTAAAAATGAATTGCCAAGAACATGATTTGAAAGATAGGTTTGAATTCCTAAATCTTTCTTTTGAAATCTTCCAAAATATTTATGAAAATGAGCAAATGAACAGCAAATTGGCAAAAAAAATTGTTATATTCTTTTTCAAAATGATTGATTTTGCCATCACAATTTATCCTCCTCTTCTTTAACATTACATGTCCCTCTAACACATTTCCACACATAAACAGATATGTTTTAGATAATAAAATTTATTGAAATAACGTCTAAGAATATTACACACATTCCATATGTGTATGTGTTCTGTATGTGTGATGTATCTCCCTGTGAATCTACCTACATAGGATGTCAATGATAATGGAAAAGGTGCTCATTAATCACATCACTCGCCTTGTAACATTAATCCATACTCCAATTAAATATATTGCATCTGTCTACTCAACAGCTTCAGAGTCACCAAACATACTAAAAAAAAAAAAATCCATATACTTTATTCTTAAATTAAAATAAAAGTAAATAGAATTAAAAGATATCGATAAAGATGTTGGTGTTTTCAATTACATAAGCAGATATTGCTGTGCCAGGAAACACATCATGTATTTAATTTTCTAGGATGCTGAATCCAGTTGAGCTTCTTGTTATAAGGTGACTAAGAAGGCCTCAAGCTTCAGAAAATTAGGAACCTTTTGTTTCCTTCCCAGGGCCTGATTAAACTAATTTATTCTTGTCCAAACACTTACTTTAAATATGTCTTCTTTCAACTTGGTGCTTTTAATTTCAGGGTATTTATGAAGATCAAATTGTTTAAACTCTTTCTTAAGCTGAAAGAACCCATGCTCTTTCAATTTCCTTTTGTGATGTAGGTCTTCCCCTTTTTCCATCCTCTGTTGCAACATCTTCCTCTTGAAGAGTCAGCCAGAACTGGCACAGTGCTGCATAAAATATCTCAGTAGGCTTTGTTGCATCTTCCTCTATTTCTTTGGCAATTTCATTCCTGATAGATACTATGGACATAACTGTTTGTGAATGATCACATGCCATTAATGGTCTAGTGCTGCCTCTAAATCACATATCATCACCAGTGGATAAACTGGCCATTTCTAATAACAATTTATCCCATTTAGTATTAGTTGCAAGATCTTCCATTTTTATTGGCAGTTTTTTTCTCGCACAGTACAATAGATCTAATAATTGTTATTCTGAAGGAACAGATATGATTCCATTAAAAAAAATTTGATAAAATCATTGTGAATATTTTCAATCTGGCTTGTGGTTTCTTATATCTGTCCAATTTCCTTCTGCATTCAGACATGTACATTACCATTGCCCTTAATCTGCATTAATGCAATCACCTGAATACATTTATTTTGCCAAGTAATTCACTCTCTGATTATCAACATATATGTGTTGGATCACTCATAGAGTTTCTGTATGGATGAAAATAATATTTTTTTTCTTTGGATGAGATGCAGACCTATATCTCTATATATATGTCAGAAGATGAAACTTATCATAGACAACAGGGCCGTACAAGGCTTAATTTCCTCAAAAAGGTTTTTTCTCACAGTCATTTACCATAATTCTAAAACTACTCTGATTTTCATAAATCCTTTTCCTACATGTTCTATATAATGTCATACTAGTGCCCAGTGCATCTATCATACCCTCTTAACAACATGCTATAACAGTTCTATCATGGAACAACATTGACACCATTTATGCTTTTTTACCAAAAAGTTCTGGTTGTGCCCCAGAAGCAGTTTAGGTGAAAAATTACAAAACACAGGTACACACAGTCTGCTCTGGATTAAGCAGCTCTGAACTATGTAAACATGAGCAGCTCCTCAGCACATAGTCTGAGGGACAAGGATCATGCCAGAATTACATCTTTATCAGCATAGCTTTTACATTTTGACATTGTCCAGATAGCAGTAATTTCTATCTTGATTTGGACATCTCTATCAGACATCTAACCTTCTGACCCATGATTCACATCCTTGTCTAAGATTAAAATTATTCATATGGTTCTGTGCCCTTTTAAAGTTAACATTAGCTTTTGTCTTACTCATACTGCATTGCCAATTCCACTGTGGCCTTCTTTTGAACACTGTAGGTAAAGATCCTTTCATCATTTTTGTTAATTTCTTTGCAAGGCCTAATAGAGTTATAAGTCATTATTACTTTATCCTAATTTTTCAAGACCTTTAATATGTAACTACCTACTTTGATTTCCTATTGTATTTTCCAGCAGGCTTTTTAAGGTTTTTATTTTCATACAGTGTCTATTCTTTATTTCATATCAATCAGTTATCCTTATTTTTTCAGTTTTTTCTCTTACTGTTGAAAACCTTGTTTACAGGTGTATTTTGTGTTTAGTATTTCAAATATTTAAACACAATCAATGCTTTTGAACACAAGTTATTTTATTTCTCCAAGTGACATTCATCTGTGAGACCCATCTACCTATTAGAACTATACATAAAACACTACTCCTTGCATTTTCTAAAAGACTGCCTGAGAAATCTGTCAACTATCATGTCAAGAAACATGTTTGATCTGCTTTTAACAGTAAAATTTGTTCTTCAGAAAGTTAACTATGTTAATAGGTAACTATTTTAAGTACTTCAGTTGCTTGCGGTAGAGTCATGCTACAAATATGTAAATATATATTGTGCTAGTCATTTCATTCTTCAGTCTTGTAATTCATGCAGTAAATCTGACAAGTTTCACATTTTTCTGAACCATCCACTTCTATTTCTTGTGTATTCTTCTCATTGATCCACATTGTCCCGATTAGGAGTTTTCAGAACCTCTTAGTATGTTAGAGTATGTTAATTATGTGTTAAGAAGAAGGGTGCTATCAAAATCTACTGCCATCTGTCATCTTTGTCTCCCCCACTCTTTTTCTTCTTCATTCACAATTTTCCCTGTGTGAGACTTTCAACATATTTTGGAACCCCTTCCATCTGCCAGTAAAGAGAGAAAAATAATTTTTTTAATTGACAGAGCTACTCCTTACCTTTTTTATTGGACATATTATCTAGGAGAAAACAGTTAAACAACACATTTATTTATCTTGGACTCAAAGACATGGCCCCTAGAGGTATCGAGTACATCATCAAACAGAAAAATTAAAAAGAGTTATATGAAAGATAAGATTTCTGACAATCAGGTCCTGCTTGGTCTTTGCAATCCATTAGGAACTGAAGATCTTTCATAAAGGGAGAGATTCTGGCAGAAAGAGAAGGAGGGGGCATCAGTCATCATACTTTGTACACCATGAGGTGCTGCCCATGGATACTACTCAGAGTCTTTAAGGCTCCTTCCAGGTATTGACTTGGCCCAGCCACTTAATTCCAATATCCCCTCTCCTCCATCACTATGAAGCTACTTCCAGACATCTGAAATATTCCAGACATCCACTCAAGGGCCACAGGTTTTCTCCAGTTCAGGGAGAATAATTTATTTCCCATGCAGAGGCTCTCTCTCTCTTTATCTGCATACTTCAAAGTGGTGTTGAGTAGCAATTTCTTCTCCTGAAGCTGCAGCCAGGGGAAGGTTTGGGGTACAGGGGTCAGGAGTGAAAGGGATATTACATCTTGCTCCATAAACATCAAAAACAGATATCAAAGTCTATATAGGCCCTAACCTTGAATACAGAACACCCAAGGAAAAGCAGTGAAACACCCTTCAGTGAGAGTCCTTGACAGGACCTGCTTGACTATGGGTGTTAAATGTCTGAAGTCAGAAAGCATCTCTTAGAAAAAACCTCCTATTCTGAGAAAAAGCATCTAATAGGCTATGTAGGCATGACTCAAGGTGATACAGTCACTCACTGGATTCAGGGTATGACTAATTGCAAATGGAGATTTTCAACACAGGGATTAATCATCTGCCCAGAACTGGACATCTAAAATTTAGACTTCTGAATCTAAAAAAATTATCCAAGACATCACCAAGATTCATGGGATAAAAAAAATCTTTCCATAATGCAATCCATTTTAAGATAACATCTAACTGGAGCAGACAACACCCATACTTGCTTTTTGGACTATGAAAGGAGCTTACATTGACAGAATTAGGTTCAGATATCTAAATATCAGATGCATAAAGTGGGTGTCTTAACCTAGAGGAGATGCATCCCTCTGCCCCACAGAATTTGAGATATGAAGCTGAGATGGCTGTGGCAGGGCCTCTGTCACCACTTAGTGGGAAGGTGCATATTTCTCACCACTGGCAATGGGATAAATAGAAGGTGGTTATGCTTCTAGATCAGACACCAGATTTAAGAACTTCAAGTAAGGACTAAATATACCTTGAGTGCTAATTTTGACAACACACAAGCAAACATAAAAAAAGGCTATAGTAGCAGAAGTGACAAGTCTGAACTGCAACTCTCAGTTCCATATGCACTAATGAAAGGTATTTGTGCCTTAGAGAGGACTTCTAAATATATAACAATATAGGAATGAAATAATCTGTGTATGTTTTATAAAATTAGTTCTTCGCACAGAAGTATGTCTCTCTAGCCAAAACCAATTCTAAGGTCACCCCTATTCCCACAAGAATATCATCTGCTATACTACAGGCTAGTAAAATAATTTCCTTTCCAGCTTTATGAAATTACCCTCACTTTTTTTTTTCTTTTTACTCCAACCCTACTTGCATGTTAACACTGAGGACAATTACCTGAGGTCTGTGTTTGGGCTTGTTCAGGACAACAAGAAAACTGCAATTTCCTTTCCAAATGGATGGAGAAGGGTTCCAACCCCTGCTTTTAATACAAAAGGTGGACAGTGAACTTGGAATGAATATGGCCAGGTCTTTTCCACTGAAGTCAGTCCTCAGGGTAGTCTGAAGGGTTAGTTGTGAAAATGCTGAAAGAATGGACAAATGTTCAGAGTAACTAGAATATACAGGCAAGAAA